AACTGGCCCCTTTTAATTCTATGGCCTGCGGACTGCTCCCACAAGAGATTAAGGATGCTCAGATGAGGACGACAAGATGTACACAACGAGTAATGTTTTTGCAGAATATTTTCTCGACTGTAATAATCTCAACGGCATTTGAATGACGTTCGATATTCTTTCTTTGCCATTCCTTAGTGACGGTCATCCAACGTATTCTGTATTTTTTAATGCTCTAGCTCGTACGTGGTGATGCTTTATCCAAAACGTTGGCGGCACATAAAATATATTCATACATGATTCATAATGCACGTGTAGTTACTTGAAGATGAATGTGTGACAGTAGCTCCCAATCAATCTGACTGATCTTCTGACTGGGACCTTCTTCTGATACAATAAATCTGCTCTAAACAAGCAAGTCTACAACCCAAAATTTGCACTATCTCAGTAGCTGACGATTCATGACGACCTTAACACTATCCTGACCGGGCACGGTGGCACAATGTCAAAGAGGTCGGCTTTGAACTCTGACAGTGCAGAATTGAAATGATGATTAGCAATCAGCCAAGAAACAAGTAGCAAATCGTTGACTTGGGAACAACAGAGACCTCGTAATACTCTAGGGTGATCATACCGGAAAGGGGAGTTGTACGGTCATACTGTCAGGTGCGAGCTATTCATATGGCTGCACTTTACCTCGGACCGTCTGACAGCTAACCGGCAAGTGCATACGGTAAGCACATAAGGTGAAACAAAATAAAATCACAAAATATGGCCAAAAAAATTTTTAAGCATTAGTGCTGGCCTGATGTGGCCTTAATGCAATGCTACAGCATATGGGTACCGTACCCGTTGCCCAGGCATAGGCACTGATTGAGACGATACAACAGCGCAGCAATTTCAACCATGTGAAAAAGTTTGGTTGTCTATCGACTTTTCGAATCATCATCTGCACTATGTGCAGTTTCTGTTTGTGACTTCTACAACTACAGCTGCTGAAGCAGATAAAAGTGATCGATTGATTATACTTCCGGTTCTCGATCCATGGTTTAAGGCACAATTTAGAAACGACGATGCAAATTCCGTTATTCACCGATGCATTTCGATACCACACACCAAAGTCTTTATCAGGCTAACATGACACAAATAACACAGCATCATGTTATGAAATGTGAGTAAAAGAATTTACATCGTCCTTTTCAATCGCCGCTTTGAACCATGGATCGAGAACGAAGGATGAATAGCCGTTTTTCAAGCAGGCAACGAATCGATACCTCATTCCATAGCTAATTAATTAAATGTCATTAGTACTAATTCGCTGTACGATTACATAGGCATAGCAAAACATGAAGGCTTACTGGAACGACAATCCACTGGGTCCCAGTTTGTTCGGAGGCTGGTTGGTTTTGGAAAATAAGCAATTACCGACAAGAGTAAATAAATGAAAAACCAAATTACACGTTAAAAAAGATTAATGAACATCGACTGTTGGCAAAACATACGTAGCCAGGAAAGAAAGACACCTCCATCGATTTACGTTTATTTTGCAGGCACCTCGTTACTCACGAAAACAGCAATGAAAAAGCCATTAGTGAGGTCTTCCTCTGAGAACCTCAAACAACATTTTCCAAATGAATAACTTTCCATGCCTCGATGTGTCCACTGTGGGAACGCATACTCCAGGTGATAGTAGTCTGAGTATTCGTCGAGGACTTCCTGCACAACAGCTTCATTTTCTCTTTCGAACGTGGAACAGGTGGAGTAGACGAGGCGTTGCAGAGTGCAGATGCTCAGGGCACGTTTGAGAATCATCGCCTGCAGGTTGCCCAACCTATCCAGTCTCATCGGCGTCATGCTGCTTTGGCGATCTGCGTAAGCCTCATTGCGCGAGTAGATACCTGAGCCGGAACAAGGAGGGTCGACCAACGCATGAGTCACCTTAAAAATTAAGCAGAATCAGCAACGTCTTGAAAACAACAAACCTTCAGCAGTTTCCACATTGGAAAATCAGCGTAGATATACAATCGATGAACTGACCGCGGCCTTTCAAGACGCTCATTTAAACGTTTGAACAAATAAATTTCGAAAAATGAATTTTAGCTTCGACATCTATTGAACATAATAACAATAAAAGCAGCTTCAATGTATATTAATTAATATTGATTCATCGTGTATCGTTTAAGACAAACAAAAAACTAATTGGAAAAGCCTCTCCATTCATTTTTGCGTTGAATACAAAAGCATAAATAAAAGGAAGAGCTTGGGACATCTTACCAAAGAGTTTCTGCATGTTTCGACTAACATGGCGCCTGTTCAACCCGACTATCCATAATCTGATTCTTACTTTTCTTTGAATTAAGATTTCGTTAAAACTTTTCAGCCATTCCACCTTAAACACAGGTATATCCCTACCATGATGCATGTTTACCACTTGTTTACAATTCTTGCGTTTTATTAATGTAAAATTAATTATTACTTAATTTTAATTCCATTAACCTTAAATCTCCTCAAACAACGCACTATACAAGAAGTAATTAGCACAAAAAAATCAAAATAGTTGGCAGGTAAGGGAAGAAAACGATAGACAAGGTCAGTCTATCCTCAACCTGTTCCATATATTCTGCTAGCCTCTCTCAGGAACATCCGATTACGTACGGGAAAACTGAATTTCTAAATGCCTCAGTGCGATATCTGCCGAAAATGTCATGGTTGAAATGAAATGCTCTCTTCCGGTCGACGATGTCTGTAAATATTCATGATGATAGCTTCTATTACAGAAACCGAAACGTCGGGATAAAGTAAAATGAGATTAGACAAGATTATCACTGATAACAGTACGAAAGCTTTTACACGGGAAACGACAATGTGTTTGGAAAACCATAACAAACAACGCGTAGCATCTTTACTGTACACGGATGCTGAAGTTTCAGACCAAACCCGGACCGTGTTCAGAGATTTGTACGGCGTCATTTTTATGAGGGTCGGTTGGCCTGCATGTCTGACAAAGTCCAGTTTGTCCTTGGTCTTAATTCTTATGGTGGAGCGGATGAATAGCCCTTTCTTCACTTCACATGTAAGCGATCGCTTCTACCGCGACGGTTTTCATCACCAACAAAGATATCGTGTATTGATAGACTATGGCATCCAATTTGATAACCTCAAGATCTTTTGTTTGTCTCCGTTCTCCGTCTACTTGACTCAGACCTTTTCCTCTGGCATAAACGTTTTCGCGTCTGACCAGGTTTGCTTTATGCTCGGTCTTCGTTTCCTGAAGGTAGTTTACTGTTTCGGCAATGAAAACTGAACCATATGAGTAGGAGAATTCATAAACCAATCTCTTTTTCTAGATAAGAGCATCAGATAATATTATTAGATATTCTTAGACAGATTAATGATAACAACGCATAGCTGGAAAACCCAAACATAACACAGAAATGTGAAAACATAACTAGCAGTCGGGACTGAATCGATGAAAAACTGAAGCCAATGTTTTGGCACAATAAAAACTTATTAATAACATAATTCTGAGTGACAGTCGCATGTCAGTAAATACAAAATCACACACTTTTCATACTGATTACTGACTTCGTCCCAGCTTTAACTAGTTTCAAAGGACGAGAGGTTCACATTTGAAATTTTCATGTCAAAATATGAACGTATTCTTTGATTAATAACCCAAAGTTAAGGTTATCCTAAGAAGTTTCTGAAACACTAGTCTCCTGATTTCACGTAATTTAGCAACGGCATGGAACGCAATAACTGAATACGCGGCCTGACAGTTAAGGATTGCGCGCAGATGATTTTTTAATTCTTACATTAAGTGTATATAGATGTTACTTATGTAAATTCTGTGACAATCATTACACATTATCTTGTAGACGAAATTATTTTTTGGATTGAAACCAGTGTAGGTTCCGAGTGCCTAAGAGAGGAACAACTTGACTCGCGACATGAAAATTTGCAAACCTTTGTGTCACAGACTACATTCGTTGAAAAGTAATTAGAAAGTCATCATCTGTCAAAGCAAAGTTGTTGACAAGGTGCTGGCGTATTAACTCTTACTTCCGCTAGTGGCTAAAAGATTTAGGCGACAAGCAACCTCGTGAAAAATGAAAAAGTCCAATAAACTAAGGAACCAACATTTTCTCTTTTGATACTGAACTGAAGCGGTGTAGTGGAACCATCTCCTTACTTCTAGTTGCTTAGGGGACCATTTAAACAGGCCACAGTTTTACGCGACGGTAACGATAACTAGGATCATACTAGTAAAATTATGATATTATGATATTGGTTAAATTTTTATGTACCTAAAAATCGTGGCATACTTGCAGGTGTCCAGACAAGCCTTTGTTCCGCCCTGCCTCGTGTTGCGGTTCTGCATCCACGCACTGAAGATGCTCAAATATCATGGAGCCGTGGCCTGCTTAAATGGTCACCTAGGCGACTAGAAGCAAGGGGACGGTGCTTACGCCGCTCAATCCGGTATCAAAAGAAAAAATGTTAATTCTCTTTGCAGTGGTATCGATAACAAGCATCATGGTAGCAAGCCCATAAAAAAGGGTTTTATTTTTATATATAAACTAAGGATCCAGCTCTTACGTCAGAAAACTGATCGCTGGCCATGTCCAATGCCAAAAAATCTGAGCACAGAACTTCACAGCATTCGATTCCATACAAGTTCAACAAATTTTTCATCGTTGCCACCCGTTCTTCGTTCAAGTCAACAGAAATGATGCTCCTAAATCAAAGGATTATTCGTACAGAGGCTACAACGAATCAAACAATACATGGACCTAGTGAAATCTACTGAGCCGAAAAAAAAACATTACAGAATTCTGCAACTCTCACTTTGCGTAAATACAAAACCATACTGCAGAATAAACAAATAAACAACGATAAATAAAAAACCATCATGGTTAAAATTGCGTACAAAAGCACATGGAAATTATGAACAATTCTGCAAATAGCCAGTCATCTATTCATTTTAGTATCCGATAGACTTAGATTAAACAAAATGCTTATAATGGTGCATAAGCTCAAAAAACAGATATTCTTTATCAATCGACAATGAACACCTCTTTGTCAGGGTCCCGAAACTTCCGTTGCGAATTGAAGTTTTACTGTTTTGTCTCATTATACTGAGCTGACCTCTAGGGAATGCTGAGGAAACATTTTAACTCTGTAAAATAAGCTCTAACGTGCTTCAAGATGTCATATTGGCTAGGGTCGATGGGGTTCCAGCAGGGAGTCATTCTTCCATCTTGGAATACGTCTCTATGTCTGTCCAACTTGATCAGATCATGTTCAACACATTGCGCTGAAAATATGGAAGGCATGATGGGAATGATTTTCTACGTTCGACACCTATCCACCTCTGCAGTAACCGATGCAGTATCTGCAATTTTCGGATCGCTGTGGGTCAATGCCTATTGTGCTCTAAGTCGTTGATACAGGTTGTCTGTAACAGTGTAAAGCCGGGCGGCCATTAGTATCAACGAACGCCAGAAATGAAAGTTTTAAACAGTTTTAAACACACAGTTATGCCTCCCCTAATTCGAATACGCTCAAACGAATGATTCGGTCGAACTTGTCATTAATGACCCTGTTGTAGAGGCCATCTCTCTTGTTCATTGTATAGTTTTGCTTTGTGCTTCACCTTCCGTATACTTGCTGTAAAACCAGTAGTTCCTACCTACCATAAGATTAAATTTACTCTAACTCCACATAAGCGTTTGCCATATTTTGGTTTGGCTTACCTACTATTTGAAACTTTTATCCATGTTTTCACCAGCCGAGTAACGAGTTTGAAAAATCAACTTTTCATAAAGCGCTACAGCGCATCTTTTCAGACCAATTTTTCAAAGGCCCTAGACACTAGCTTCAAATCAAAACTTTTAAACCTTTACTAAGCTTTTGTAAACATTTTTCCTTTGTGTCAAACAGATCAATATCAATTTTGCTTTTGTAATAGTTTAAAAAGTGTTAGGGAGTGGGCAAGCAAAAGTTGTGTACAAATAAGCAAGTAACCGAGAGAAACTTCTCGGTATTGTCTAATTTTTCATAGCATATGATTCTGCAGCTTCGACTCAAAGATTTGGTTTCACTGTTAAACGAAGCTGTGAGGGTGAGGTTAAGCGGTGAAGGAAACAGAAATATTCAGTGCGCCTTCACATAAATCACATTTTGCAGGATTTCATATATCAGCCTTAAGGTTGCATGGCTGTAAGAGCGAAACCGAACATTCTAGTCGCAAAGAAAAGATATAGAAAAGCAGTATGCATCAGTAATAAAGCAAAAATACCCCTTGTTTTGCATTTGTGCGGCTATTTGACTGGTCTTTAAGCCAGGCGCTGCACAGATATCAAGGACTTTAGCGCCGGGACGCGCTCGAAGTAGCATTGGAGGAAAACAACTGCTCTAAAAGTAAGACAAATTAAAATAAACCAAATGTCACTTATCAATTACGGCCAATCAATGACAGTAATAGATGACAGAATCATTCTCGGCTAGCCTGTTATCATCATAACATGTTACCTATATTTCGGGCATCTTATCACGCTCATAATAATATTCGAATACACGCTACTACATACAACTGCATCAATAAATAAACAAGTAGTGTACATTTATATATATTTCAGTCCAT